AATGAGACTGCAGTTTTCACGTGTACTTCTGGGTGATATAACAGTATGAGGAAGAAGCCTGTAAGCTTTGGAGTTGATAAACCCTTTGGAACTTCCCCCAGGGAGCAGCCACTGCAGCAGCAAACAAAGGTTTCAGAGGAGGACATCAGCTAAAGAAGGGCCGTGCTCCACAAAGGCCCCTTTGACTTCGGACCATTCCTCCCTGACCCAGAAGATCCCGAGCAGACTCCCAAGCACTCACAATGCCATTTCATTGTTCCCATCTCTGTTTTGAGACATCTGTCACGGCTGCGCTGCCCTGTTGACAGCACCGACGCAAAGAGACCACAGAGTGACAAGTTCTACCTTACTGCAGGACTGACTACCTTACCAGGACTGCAGAGAGACAAGGCCACAAACAGCCTTGGCTGCTGCATCACCAGCAGCAGGGAAAGCTCCAAAAGGAGCTCAGCTCATACTTATGGAGGAACTGAGACACAAGGAGAGATGAGCACGTTTGAGGCCGCAGTCATTTTAACCCATCACCCAAGTTACATGCAGTTGCAGGTGTTGGTTTGTTTTTTTTATTCCTCAGCAGAACGTGTTACTTCACTGCAATTTGCATTGGGACAGGATTGACACCACTCTGCACCACTCTGGATGACAGTTTCTAATACGCTCACATAAGTAAAATACTTTCAACGCATTGCTCATACAAACACCATGCCAATAAACAAGGGAAAAGGAAAAAAGACGCCTTTACAAACAAGCAGAAAGATTCAACCACCATTTGCTTCCTAGCAGTCATCTTCAGACTAAGTGGCATTTTACAGAATCACAGAATGGCCTGGGTTGCAAAGGAGCACAGTGCTCATCCAGTTCCAACCCCCTGCTGTGTGCAGGGTCACCAACCAGCAGCCCAGGCTGCCCAGAGCCACATCCAGCCTGGCCTTGAATGCCTGCAGGGATGGGGCATCCACAGCCTCCTTGGGGGTGCAAAACAGAAATGGTCTCTAATCACAGGAAACACAATGCAGGTAGTAAATCGTAACAGAAGACGTTCTCTGCCTTGAATTAACACCACTCAAACCTCCCGGCAGCAGAACAGAGGAGGAAACAGCAGTCACAGTTAGCTGCAGTGCTTTGGAGCAGGTAAGGCAGGCCGGCAATCCCCAGCCACGCTGAGGATACAGCATTTCCTAACAACTCCAAAGGGAAACCTCTCCCAGAGCAATTTATTTTTGATTAAATGCAGCAATTTTTGTCATACCACCCAGGTTGCGTGCTTGTAAAAACCAAAAATGTGTTTGAGCAAGCAGAGTTCTCCAATACAATTAATTAATTTAAAAAAAAATATGAGTGAGAAAATCCACCAAGTTGCTCAATAAACTGAAACTTCAGCCTCTTGCACAAAATGCTCTCAGCAAGGAGGGAATAGTGCGTGCTGAAAGGCAAAAAGCACTTTGATGCTGCATTCACTCCTTAAAACTAAAACCAACAGCTTCTATCTGTTATTGAAATGACCCCCGCCCGCTCCGGAGGGCTACAACCACAGCAGGGCTACAACCACAGCACGAGTTACTCAACTCCCAGCGTTTTATTGACTGGCTGGCATAAAAATAAGGCCCATCAGTGACTGATCTGACATTTAGCACGCGGCACCACAAAACTAATTTCAGATCAAACATCATCTATACGCCCTAAAAATATTTCCAGCCTTCTCGTGTCCGAAAGGATTTTCAGACTGACATTTTCCTCGCCAACTGCAGCCTTGTAAAGCACGAGCAGCACAGGATCAAGAAAGGATTAAAAGCAAACCGGGTTTTTTTGAAGAGTGGCTTCTGACTGATCGCAACACACACCAGGAGCAAGCTAATCTGGAACTGAAGATTACCTCGTGCCATTTGTCTCATTGTTTGGCAATATCTCACCCTCCCACAGCCGCAGCTCCGTAGAGATCAATGCCAGCGCCTGGGTCTGAATGAACCACAGCACCGAGATTTCCAAGCATCCACCTGTTGCCTTTGAAAGGTCGGATGCGGCCTTATTTATTAACAATTCACCCCACAGCTTCGAGAAGCAGAACTTGCACTTCTTCCCATTGGAAGTGCAGCTCAGCATCAGCCAGAGCAGCTTTCAGAAGATCTAATGCAGACCTCGGAGGTTGCAACATAAATTGGTTTGTCCATGCGTGCACGCAGACCTCGTGAGGAGACACGGCGCTCATCTGGCTCAGGGCAAAGACTGCAGAAGTTGGGTTTGGAGGAGGAAGCAAGCGAGGAGGAGAGCAAAAAGGGAAACAAAGCCAAAACACGAAACAAACCAACCCAGAGCGAAAGCACTCGGAGCAACGAGACGCACAGAGCACAACGGGGCTCTCAACAAAGCTGATGGAGCCCATCAGGCAAACGCGACGAGCTCAGGGCTCGTTCAGAGTCTGCCGGCAGCGAAGGGGGAACCTGAGGGAACGGCGGGCGGGCAGCGAGGGGAAATAAACAATAACAACAAAAAAGGGAAATAAACGGAAATAACTCGGAAACGCAGCAGCACGCCGGGCTGGGAGCGGGGGCACGAAGAGCAGCAGCGGTAACGGCTGGGCCCGCCGCCACGGCCTGGCCTCACCGCGCGGCCGCCACGGCCCGGCACACGGCGGCACACGGCCCGGCACGGCGGCACGCAGCGGCCCGCGGCCCCACCCCCCTCCGGCCCCTCCGCCCCGAGGAGCGCCCGTGAGCGGCGGGCCCCGCTATTACCTGTGAGACGGATCTTGATGCTGGAGCCGTTCCGACGCGTCCCGGGATTCGACATCGCGCCCCGCGACGAGATCAACCCGCGGCCCCGCGCAACCCCATGCGGGCCCGCTCAACCTCCGGCCGCTCTCTCCGCGTTCCGCCCGCGGTCGGACCCGCCGCCGCCGCCGCCCGCCCGCTTCAGCCGCCGCCGCCAGCCCGACCCGGCCCGGACAGCGCCTCCACTCCGCCTCGGCCCCGCCCCGCGTCTCGGGCGTGACGTCAGCGCGCGGGCGGAGAGGCGGTGCGGCGCCGCCATCTTGAGGAGGTCGGCTCTGAGGGAGGAGTGCGGGGCCCCCTGGCGTGCGGGAGGACCGCGACCCCACAGACCACGCGGCGCGTTAACCTCGCACAGAAAACATCGCCGTTTTAACCTTAACCTCACGTGGATTACTTTGGACAAAATATACGAATGTGGCTTCTCTGTACCCTTTTCCCACCTACCGATCCGAAAATATGCCAAATTAATGCACAGCTGCTTTACGTGACATTCACTGACGTGGATGTCTCCAGAATTATCTCATTTCCTGTATTCTTGCCTGTGAAAAGTTTGTTTGCTAAGGAAGCAAAGTAAAGAATAGCCTTTGTTGGGTACAGGCGGGATTTAGGAGGACATGGATGTGGTGCAGTGGACACATGCGCACAGCAGCATGAAAGTCAATAGAGGGAAATGGGGTTCAATAAGATGTGAACCAGCCCACGCTTCATTTATAAGCCACAAAAATGTAAGCCCAAAAGCATCCCATAAGCCATCCTTCCTGGTTTGCTACCAGAAATGAAACCAAAGGCCAAACCCCATTAAATCTGCACCCCACCAAACACAGAGCAGCCTCTGAACTCAGCGGGAGGCAAAGCCATGAGCCAACCCTGTCCCATGGCAGGGTTCTGCAGGGCGCATAGAGCCAGACAGGGCATCAAATGCTGCCAGGTAGCCAGTGCTCACGCTTTAGCACTGAAAGCAGAGGGCCACACTGCTCCCCTCCACCAAAACCCCCCTTTGACTTCTCCTGTAAAGCCAGACCTGCAGAACACAGTTGCACGGTGCTGGAGAAGTTCCTGGGTGCTCCTCTGGCAGTGTGAAATGAAGAGTGAAGCTTTAGAAGAGAACCTGCTTTCCCCTCTACAAACTCCTTCTCCCTAATCAGATCCTAATGCAGAACACACAAGCCTACATGGGCTCCAGCAGCATCTTTCCCACATCTCCAGTACAGCAGTTATCACTGAGCTCCCTTTGGTCAGGAAAGAGGACACTTCAAACAGCAATACTACTTTTTTTTTTTTTTTTAGTTCATCTCAATGCTCTGGATTTGGAAAATGGAGCATCATGAATCCAGCATCACATCCATGGACACATCTCTTTCAACCTGGTGCTGCAAAGATGAAAGCGTGCAACTTATCTACAGCAGCCACACAGGTGAGCAGGAGAAGAGCCCCAAAGCTCTGACCTTTCCCTTTTTAGCTTGCTGTAAGTAGCAGAGCATCAGCACACAGCAGCCCTGCGTCCAAGCACAGGAAGAGCAGGGCAGCAGCAGGAGGCCAGCTCCGGTCCACAGCTCCAGTTACACTGAGGAAGCATGTACCTCAGGCTCCTTTTACCCACCGAAATCCAATCAGTTCCAGATGCTGCATCAGCAGCACACTGTAAGGTGGTGCTGGCAGAGGAGCCCTTTGTGCAAACCCACAGGGCAAAGGAAGGATCCACACAAGCACTCACCTCCAGAGCACATCCAGGTTTTGTGCTATTCTGATTTTCACTTCATAATGTCAGATCCAGGAAATAAATCCTGGCATCACTCCACAGTTCAGCAACTCCAGCACTTCAATCAGCTACTCCCTGCAAGCTTAGGGCTGTTACCTTGTACAGAGCACAGGCTCTGCTTCCTTCTTTCTAGGCAGCCTGGAGGAGAAATGCCTTGTATCCTGCAGGGAGGCCCAGGAGCCACAGCACAAACACAAAGGCCAAGCAGGGTTTGGTGGTACGTTCTGCTTATTAGCATTTTTTTTTGGCTCAAACAGTTAATAAGTTACACACCTTGTGCTCCTGCAGGCAGGCAATGTCTCACATAAACAAAACACATCCAAGAACTCCAATACGTATTCTGCCATGTGTTTAAGGCCCAGAGAGCTATGATCTCAGAGTATGAGGGAAAAGGAGAATAGAGGCAATAAGTACAAATTCACAAGTGCAATTTATTATTAAGTTTCAAATGTAAAAGGACTGTACACCTCTGCTCCTCTTGGTCAGGACACCCAGCCTCCACCCACCAAGTCAGAGCTGTGCAATGCTTCATCTTCAGAAGTTGAAGTCTTGCTTCTCCACTGAGAAGTTGTACAGCCCCTCCTCATCGGTCCCAGGCTGCAGATCAGAAGTCTCCTAAGAGGAAGTTAGCAGCCATCAGTTAATGAGCCTGCATCTTTACTTGTTTAAAACACTGCAGGCGAAGCTCAGACCTCAGCTCCGAGGTCTGCCATACCACTGTAAGCTTCTACTCTGGTGTTCCCCAACCTGTGATAACAAGGCTGGATCCAAATATGGACCTGTGACAGTTATGGAATTCCCTTGTGACTCCTAGCTGAGGTCCTGTACTTTTTCCACAAGCTTAACATGAGAAGAGTCAAATAATCCAGAAGGAACCTGAGCACAGTTATCAGTGAGTAGGAGGCTGCCCTTCCTAGCAACAAGCCAGGCAGGAAAGAGGAAGCCTCCCCACATTTGGAATGCATATCAGCAACTGCAGTGATGCTAGCTGATGCCACTGGAAATTTGAGCAGCAAGATGCTATCAAAACATCTCTCTATTGCACAACAGTCAGCTGACAGATTGGGGTTCTTCTCCAAAGCTACAGAACTTTGGAAGGTAAAGGGAGTAAGCTATAAGAATTACCCCGTTCAAGCAGAGACCAAAGGCCTTATCTCAGCATCTTTAGAGGATGTGCTTCATTTCAGCAGCTCATTTTCAAATAAGCAGCAACAAGAGCTCACATACCTCACCAGAAAAGTACTTCTCTATGATATTCAGAGCAGCTCGGTAGACCATGTTGTTCTCGTGGGTTTGCAAGGCTTCAATTTTCTCCAGACCATCAAGTTCTTCTACCAACAGGCACAGCCTCTCTGTTTCTCCCAGCTTCTCAGCTGCCTGCAAACAAAGGAGGCAAGTATAACCCACATCAGAAATAGGGCCAAGGTGGTCTGTGCTGCAGGGCCCTGAACCTAAGGATCAAGTGACTGCAGGTAGAAATGCAAGGGTCTGCATTGTGTTCAGGAGAGATGTTGGAATATGGCTGCAGTATATATTGAACTGCTCCTCTGGGATCACTGTGCTGTGGTTTTGCTGCCAATTGAAACAGCTCCTGGACCCTTGGAAGATTCCAGGACCATCTAACTTCTCCAAGACCTTCATTTCTGTATGGCTTAGTGATTAGCATACTGCATCCTCTCCTTTCCAGAAGGAGAAACACTCAGGAACTTCATCATGCTAAGCCCTTTGGGCAACCCAGAAAGACCCAAGAACAAGGCAGGCATGAAGTCTCACTCCTGCAAGAGTAACTGCTGGGGAGGATCTGTTCCAGCTGCACCATGCAAGCATCCCTCTCACACCTCACTGCTCCTTTGGTGAGGGGATACAACTAAAGATCTTACCAGGAAGAGATTCGAAATGGAATCCAGGATGACCAGGATAGTTTTGCTGTCTTTGGACAAAAGCAGGTTGAGCAGAGGCTTGAGGACCCCAGACTGGACGAGCTCCACCACCTGCTCCACAGTGCCGCCAGTTGTCAGGTTGGCCACTGCCCACACCGCCTCCTTCTGGGCCTTGAAATCCCCCTGGAAAAGCAGCACAGAAAACACATTCCCAGACTTCAGCATCCCTCAGAGCAGGCTGAGATGCCAGGTGGGAACAGCCAGTCTCTGCACACAATTTGGACTGGCCTGCTTTCCTCGCACTGGATGGACACAAGGCAGGGCAGTCAAGACCAGCTCCAAGCTGATTTTTTCCATGCAGATGTACTAAGTACAGTGCTCACGCTGTTCCTCTGAACCAGCAGATTCACAGAACACTGATCAGGTGGCTCTTGGGCACAGCACCTCATAACAAAGCAGCACAGACGGAAGCTGAGCACTGCCCCATGTGCACAGAGCTGTCCCCATCCCCTTACCTTATCAAGCAGCTCCACCAGAGGTGGCAACAGTCCACAGGTGATCAGCTGCTGGATCTGCTGGCACGGCCCAGCTGCAATGTTGCTGAGTGCCCATGCTGCCTCCTTCTGTATAGCTGGCTTCGTGTGTCGCAGCAGAAGGGGCAGGACAGCCAGGACACCAGCATCAATAGCTGCCTGGGTCTGCTCATCAGTCCCTGTAACCACATTCCCAATGGCACGCAGAGCTGGAGTCTAGGCAGAGATTAGAGCAGATGGAGATGAGAAATCTTATCTGAAGGGATACACACCAGAAAGACCAGCAAGAGCCCTCACTAAGTGCCTGATCCTTCAAACGAAGTCCCATGGACGATTACTGCTGTGGTTACAGACCTACCTACCAGCCTCCTGTTCTGATCTAAGCAGCTTTACAGGCTCTTCCCAGCCACAGCAAGAAGGAACAGAGCACTGGCTTGACCAGCAACAAGTAGAACTGCAGGGTGAGGTGACAGCAGACCACAGACAGCAAGGAGCTGCTCCTTCCCTCTCCCCACATGCCCCTATATTAAAGGGCCAGAGGCCAGGATCAATCAGTTGTTCCCTACCATGACAATCATCTCAGGGCTGCTCATGAGCTCCACCAGCCGTGGCAGAATCCCCGTATCCACCACAATCTGGATGCGGTCATTGGAGCCATCAGTCAGGTAGGACACAGCCCAGCAGGAGTCAGAGACGATATCCTTGTCCTCATGCTCCAGCAGGCAGGTGATGACGGGCAGCAGTTGCCTCACGGCCTCCAGAGGTGGGTATGGGTTCTTATTCCTGCACAGGTTTGACAGAGTCCATGTGATGTTCCTCAGGAACCCAACCTGGAAGACAAGGGAGCTGTGAGATCCTCCTTGCGGAGCCCTCTGGTGCAACCAGCACTGCTCCACAGCAGCAGATGTTATCAGCCAGGAGGAACCTCTTTAATAAGGGCTGAGGCTTGTTTGAAGCAGGGAGATGAAAGAGCAGACCTCCCCTCCTCCTTCTCCAATATTAAGTTCCAATAACCTCAGATCCGGTGGGATGACAAGCCACTATGACTAACAAAGGCACCAAACAGCCCGCTGCCAGGTCCCCAGGACAAATTACAGAGCATTCTTTGGACAAGATCAAGGGCGTGTTACTTCAATATTAGCAGCCCATTGTCATAGAGGAGGGTTTGAGTTTTCTCATCCCAGTGAGGAGAGCAGTGGAGCTTCATGCACAGCATCACAGCCACCAAGGTGTGTGGGGGATGGGACCGTCATACTTTGCGACATTTCACAGTGTTCCCCAAGAAGAGACAAAGCTGAATCAGGAGTGGCCGGAGAATTCTTCTACAGATTTTGCAATATAAATTCAAATAAGGCCCAGAGGCATTTTCCTCAGCCCTGCCCTGAAAGGCTGAATTTCTGCCTACAGAGAGCACACACACACACAGGGTGGGACACCTGGGTGCATCCATCCCACTGCTGGAGCCTCTCAGAGCTGCAGCCTACCTCACACCACTCTGAAAAGGTCCCTCTTCCCCTGAAAGCTGTGGGGCAGGCATTGCTGCAGGAGGGCAGGGCACAGCAGGAGAAAGCAGGAAGGACAAGTTCTGCCCTCTGCACGCATATGCAAGTCTGCTGCACGCCAATTGCAACTTACTCCTAGCTTGAGATGGTCAAAGCTGGATGGGAAAGCTTCGACCAGATCTTTGCATTGACTTGAAATGCATCTGCCTGCATAACCCTTGTTCAGGGTTAGGTTCATTAAAAGCAGTTCAGACAAGGGTCCCATCCAGCTGTTTTGAGAATCACCATTCATCCATTACCCAAGTGATTGGTAGTGCCAAGTCAAGAGCAAGAAAGTTATTTACTGGAGTTGCAGGAGACACCAGAGCCAGCAAGGGAGGAATCACACTGCAATTGATAAGAGCATCTCTGTACAGAGGACCATCACCTGCACACATAAAAAGGGTTATTTATGATATGTATTTAAGACACAAGACAGGCAACAACCAACAGCAGCCAGAGACCCCCCCCTTAAATGACACTGGTCTTTAGCAAGATGCACTCCTGTATTTGGCTTTGGACAAAACCCTCCTGCGGGACCAACAGGGACAGAAAGCCTGCCAGGCCATGAGAATCACAGAATGGAGGCAGAGCTGCGGGGAGATGGGCCCATCAAGGACCACCACTGTTTATCACAGCTGGGGCAGTGACCACATCCTAACCCAGCTCTGCCCGGGGACCCCGCTCACCTGCGATGTTGCCCAGCGCCCACACGGACTGCTCACTGATGTGCATGTGGGGGGAGGACAGGAGGGAGATGAAGGCAGGGATGGCCCCCCCCTCCACCACCGCCCTGGTGTGCTCCGAGGTGCCGGATGCGATGTTGGTCAGTGCCCAGGCTGCTTCAAACTGCAGAGCAGCATTGTCAGTACGGGACAGGAACTCAACCAGCCTAGGGATGATCCCCAGCTCGATGATTTGATTGAGAGGGGGGTCCTTCTGCCTGGACAGGATCCTCCTGCAAGAGGGCACAGCACCTTTGTAGCCATTGGGCTCCATCTGCATTAGATACTATCAAGGCCCTCATCTAGCCAAGAACAGCTAGAAGAGGGAGCACTTTCAGCCAGATCTGAATTCCAGCCACAACACCTGTGCTGGCAGAGGAGGGAATCCATGGTTTAGAGTTGTGCTGCCACCAGATCTCACCATGGTGCAAGCTCAGGGTGCTGCCATGCCATCCCAGGCACGGGCAGGCTCAGCTGGAGCAAGCAGAAAGCCAGCTGTACTGCAAAGCAGGGATCTGTCCCAGGAAAGCCCCAGCTGCAATGCAGCCTCTCCTGGACCCTGGGGATAGATCCCTGCTGATGGTGATTCACATGGGGACAGCCCTGCTCAGCCACGTCCTGCTGTAGAGCAGCCCTTCTTCTGACCCAGCCTCCAACGCCTGGCTCCTTTCCATCCACCTCAGGTGTCTGCAACCAGCACAGCCCAGAAGGCACCACCAACCCTTCAGTTGGCTTTGCCCAAGCCCAGCATGGCACCCTGTAGGACCCCAGTCCCCTGGGCTAGGAGGCCCCTTCCCCATTGCAGCTTATTGTGCTTTCAGTGCCCCCCAAGCAGGAACGATGCCACCTGGCCCCCAAACCCCACAGCAGTCCCATCCCTCCCATTAAGCAGCATACCTGGCTGCCTGTGTCGCCTGCAGCTGGAGCGAAGTATTGCTCCCATTCACAGCTTCCACTATTTCCTCCAGAGACAGTGGAACAATCTGTGTTGGGATGATTCAGTCAGATAGCAAGTCAGAACTCCAAGCCAGGACTCCCTCAGGTGTAATCTCACACTCAATCAGCTGTCTAGACCCAAGGCAATCAATGCTCCATATCTAAGGTGATGTCTGCTCTTTATGCAATGTAGTTTCAGGATGAGACAGAGGAAGAGAATCCCACAAATGCCTTCCAGGCAGCTGAGCCTTGTAATCAAATACAGGGGAGTCCCTGGCACCATAATGGGGCCATGAGCACAGTAATTACCCTGCTCCAGTGCCTGGAGCTGCACCCAGTTCTACCTGCCATCAAGGGAAGCTGCAATACACATTTCCATGCAAAAAAGCAGAGGAGGGCTGGGCAGCACCCAAATCCCTCCCCAGTCCCTGCATTCAGCCCTGGCTGTTAACCCAGGTCACTGGAGCTAGATGTGGTGGTGGCCCAAGTCCCAAAGCAGATGGGATGCTCTGCATCAGCCATGTGCTGCAGCACTGACCCACCCAGGAGCAAACACCCAGCACTCACCACGTTTTTCTCTTCTGCTGGTGAGGGGCTCTTCTCCAGAGAGACGATGGAAATGCTCCTGCGCTTCAGGATCTGCTCATCCTTCTTGGCCTTCCGCAGCTCAATGTTCACCTCCACCCGCTGCCTGCGCAGGGCCTGGGGGCACAGGACACCATGTCAGCACTGCCCAGCTCACCCCAAACAGCTCATCCCTAAGCCAGATCCGACTCCGCAACCCCAGGATTGCTACAGGGAGTAGAGCCAGCTCCTTGCCACGGCCAGGAGGGTCACAAAGTATCTCTGTCCACCCTCCCCAAGGATGCTGCCAGAAGTGACAGCCCAGAGCCACTCACCCAAAGCCTGTCTCCCACTCCTACCACATCCCAGCAGCTCCACACCATATCTCTGAAGCTATGGAAGCACCCCTGACAGTCTGTACTAAGATCTGAGTGTAAATAGCATTCAGAAGCCCTCACATAAGCTCCAGCTGACTCCACTGTTTCTGGAAGGAGGTGCCACAGATAGTGGGGTTTGTACTTACTGCAGTGTCCTTGCCCTTGTTCTTGAAACTCTTCATCCTCTCACCATGCTTGTGCACAACTGGCATCTTGGCAGGTCAAGGATTTCTGCCAGCTGAAAGCTTCCACGTGCTCTGGGGGCAGCACAGGACAGAGTGAGGTCACAGCCACACTACCTCCACCCCTGAGCATCTGGGACCCCACAACAGCCCCACACATCTGCTGCTCCCAGAGAAGTCAACTCCTCTGCCCTCAGCAGAGCTCAGACAGATCCACACACACCTCAGCCTCTAAACTAAGTAAGGGCACAAACCACCACTTAATACCAGGCTGGGAAAGTCACAGCTGCAGCTGTGACCCCATGAGAAAGCAGGGCATGCCTCTCCTTGTGAAGATAAGAACACCTTCCCCCAGCTCCAGGTCCAACTGATTTAGACAGCCTAAGCCTGGCAGGGCCTCCAAGGGCTCCTAGAAGCATCAGCTCAGGGCCCCATCTGAAGGGAGGCAGTCACATCCCAGCCCAAATCCCATCTCACAGCCCAGAGATCCCCATAGCAGAGGCATCAGGTCATGCACTTGCAGTGTGACCAAGCTCAAACAGACCCCCTTCAAACACACCTAATATAACCCCAGGTGAGAGGCATAAGCAAGACAGGCAACATTGCTCCTAAGTTTATCATAACATAAACAACCAAAAAAAAACCCCCATAGGCATGCATAAAACATGCACCCAAATAAGACCAAGGCAGCCCTCCAAGCAGGCAGCAAAGCATGACTTCACCCAGCATACTTCCACAGTAGCCACATACCCCTAAGAGCACACACTGAAACACATGCAACAGAACCCCCACCACCAATAACAAGGGGAGACAGGAAAAACACTCACCCTCAACCCTCCTTCTCTTGCTTCCAGAACCCTCAGCTGCCTATTTATTGCCCCAGTGGAGCCACACATCCCAGCCTGGTCCCAACCATTGGCTCTCCCCAGATCTCTTCATTAGTCCCAGCTGCTCCTGCCACTGCAATTTGGGTGCACCTGGAGCAGCAGTCATTCTTTGTTCTCTGAGTTGCTTTCCTACCTGGGCCACCCTGACACCTCCTCCAACTCCTCCTCTCCCCTCCATCATCACCTCTATATCTTCCATCTTCTCCATGCACTGCACTGCACTTTGCCCACTTTGGCATTATTACAGTGGACTTTCTGGGGATATTCTTACACTGTCTGGGCTGGGGCAGCATGGAGAACCCAGTTGGGTCCTACAGTTTTCCCAAGTTCCTCAGATTTGAGCTGGGGCTGAAATCATTCCATTACCAGTCCCCAGCAGCCTCAACCCAGAGCTGGTTTGCATTTGCAGCTCCCAGCCCCGTGCACTGCTGCTGTATGGAGAGAGAGGACAGGGGAGAAAAATACGTGGCAATCACTTGCTGTCCTTTCCTCTCCATCCTTGGCCCCATGGGTGATGGCATGCGAGGTGACACGGCTGTGCTGAGCTCACCCTGTGCTGAGGACACGGGCAGATCAATATTTGCCGAGTGGGAAAGGGGACAACCGCTGGAGGAGAAAACGGTTCTCTCTGCAGCATAATAAGAGGGTATCAGAGCTAATGGAGAGGAAAGGAGATAAAACCCTAAATCGGCACGACAGTGTCCCCTGCACTCAGCCGTGTGTGCTCAGGCTGAAAATCCACGTGGTGACAGGTAGGGAAGCTGGGGTTCTGGCACAGAGCTTTGCTGCTCCCTCGCAGCCCGCAAGCCTTTGCCCAGCTGTTCCCAGTGTAACACTGCACAGCAATGGGATGGCGACCGGTGGCAGCTCTTTGAAGCCCCCCCCCCCTCAAAAAGGACTGACTTTGTGTGTGTTATTGTCATGTCTCTTTAATAAGCCTAGCCCTGAGGTTGGAAAGAAGCCAGCACTGGCATCCCTGCATCCGTGTGAATCCAGTGAATCCGTGCATGCCATGCCCAGGGCCTCGTGTAGGATAGAGGCTGCAAATTCTCTGGGTGGGTTGGGATGAGCCCTTCTGGCACAGCTCACACCCATCCCTGCATGCCGGTACCATCATCCCCACTGCAGCCCTGGGGATTCATTGCAGCCCCATGGTTGGTGCAGCCCCCATCGGAGCTGCAATCAGAGCTGCATTGTGTTCAGCACAAAGTGAGCACATAATAAGTGACAGCCCCTGTCCGTTACGGTCTGCCTGATGGGGACATGCAGCAAGAAGGTGGGAGAAGGGATTTATTGTTATCCCTGCCTTGCTGCTGAGCTATGACAGAGCTGAGCACTGCAGCTGGGTTTGGGGAGGGGAGGGAACAGTGGGGAGGGGAGGGAAGGGAAGCGAAAGGAAGGGGAAGGGAAGGCAGGGGAGGGGAGGGAATGGGAGGGAAAGGGGACTGTTGCTTTCAGCCCTGGAAGCTGCAATGTCTGTGTGTGCTGAAGCAGCACAGAAGGCTCCTTTCTACAGCAAATATTGCTATAGTGAAAAAAAGACAGGCTTTCCCTCCCTGCCTGTGGATGCATGTACCTCTTTTGTTACTTGGACAACTCGCTTTGCTCAGATGAAGCACGTCCTGCTCTGTGTTGGTTTTGCAGCTGGCAGGAAACACTGTGCTGGGAAACCCCACCTGGCTGAAGGTCCCCGGGTGGCTGCACTGTTCTCTGAGAATCACTGTGCTCTCTGCAACCGCCGCCAGTAATCCTCCCACCACTATTTATTGCAGTTTCCAGAGCACCTGCAGGCCCCCTGAGCTCTGTGTGAGGGCAGATTTGTGGCAGCCACAGATCAATATCCCCTTCTGTTTAATGAATGGGGGAAAAGAAAAAAAACAAAACAGAAATGCAGGGAATTCATTTGGAGGCAGAGCATCCACAGCACGTTGTGGTTTGGGGCTTTTGTAAGCAATTACTGCAAGCCTTGCATCTGGGAGTGAGGATTGCCAGCAGTTCTCTTAGAGAAGGTCATGGGATGCATTGATTCACTCGTGGGCACTGCCCTGTCCTCTGGTGTGCAACGTGCAGCAGTGTTTAGGTTGGGCTTGGTGATCTTAGTGGTCTTCTCCAGCCTTCACAATGCTATGATTCTGTGATCCTATAACTCTAGGCTGGATCAGCCCCAACTTGCAGAGAGGCCCCAGAGGAGGAAGGTCTGGGCATGGGCAGTCAGCATTGTCTGCAGGCATTCCCTCTGTGTGTCCGGAGGACAATCTGCCGGAACACCCATAGTGGGTCAATAGGAAGCTCTGAGATTCCACCTCTCCTCCTTTCCTTTCTTCCCATAGAGCCGTGAATTTCAGCCTCAGGAAATGGGGCAAAGAAGCGGCGTGCTGATATCCTGCCCACCTGGAGCAGCATGCAGAACTTGGGTACATATGTTTCTCCATTGCTCCATCGTTCCCCACCCCCATATTCACTGTCAGATTTTCTGTCTCAATTCCTGCAGTTACAGATTCAGGAGCTGAAGGAATAATGGCTACTGGGACCCCATTAGGAAAAAAAAGTGCCGTAAGATTTTTGGCCATAAGAGGTTTAAGAACTTCCACAGCTGAATGAATCAGTGTCCCCTAGCTGACAGAAGATAATGGATTTAATAATAAATAGCTATGATTAAGTCTGATGTTATTTTTAAATAATTTCAAGAACTGTTACTCTAATCCCTCCGTGGTTGGCAGGAAGGATGCTGCTCAGCAGTTAAAATTAGTTCCCTCGCCTTCAGCCCGGCGTGCAGTTCCAGCCTCCGGGGCCGTGCTGGTTTGCTGAGGCATCTGCTTCTTCTGGACATCCACAGCTGTATTTGCTGAGTGCCCTTTGCCTTGGGAAGCACCCCCTGCAATGACCAATGTTTTGGTCATGGTGGTGTCAGATGTGAACACTGTATTTGCTCACCCAAGGAAAACATCAGGCTGAGATGTCCCACGGCGCAGCTGGTGCCCATGGCACAGTTGGTCTTTATCAAACAGGCCAAATTTCCATGTATTTGTGAGCAAATCGAGCCACCTCTAAGGCAGGTTGCCTTCCTCCAGGTGCCAGCCCATCGCCCTGCAGGGACACAGCAGTTGGACCAAGGGCCACAGTGTGTTGTCACCCATCATCCTTGACATGTTTCCTTGTCCATGGCACTGTCAACCAAACTGATGGAAAGCTTCATGGATCCCTTCCCTTCCCTTCCCTTCCCTTCCCTTCCCTTCCCTTCCCTTCCCTTCCCTTCCCTTCCCTT